ATAGCTCATTTATTCATGTTGTACATTAAAGAGCTTGTTTCACTACTTCCATCATAGTTTAGTCAATTCAATGATCCTAGGTTTCACTACTGTGAGTAAAGGTATCCCGAACACCACAGTTATTATTGTTTGACAAATAGAAGAACTACTTGCTTGATTGGAACATTGTGTTGGTAGGATGAACTTTTTTTTTTGCTATAACAGAGCAAGTTCTAGTGTAGGTAAGAATATCCCGAATATCACCTCCATGGTATTTTAGCCTAGGGAATGAACACCATTTTTGGTATTTACATTGCCACTGCTGTGGAAGGATGAGCCCTTTACCTGAACTTTATCGTCTATTGTGTTACTTCTACAGTACAGTGACAAGGAGAGCATTTGTTTCTTCGAATTGATTACTATTTTGGTAGGTTTTCTTCTTTGTTTTACTCTTCCAGATTTCATCTAAAGAATTTCAACTCTCTTTGGCCAGGAGTTGTTGTAGTAACCAAATGAGAAAAGTGCAGGGTCTCTCCAATAATGTCTTTCTCCTTTGTCCTCACCCTAGTATGTGATTAATTCCATTATAAAGTTATGGCTATGCTATGTGGGCTGATTATGGTTGTACCAGTGTACCAATAATGGCATATGCTCATATTGTTTTCTCTGAGGCACATACTTGCATTGGACAATAGAAAAAAATTGCAACAGGGTATGTTGTGTTTCTTATCCCAGCTCAATTTGACTTGAATTTAATGGGTTTGATTTAGCATTACAAGTCTATCTATGATTTCATATTGTTACGTATCTGCTTGTTTGTTTGTTTCCGGTAGAAATTCTTTCCGAGGATTATAAGCAATACAAGTCCTTTCTTGATTAAATCAGTTTATTCTTCCTCGATACAAACTTTTAGTACACAGTACTTCCACAATCAGTACGTTTCTCGTCACTTTAACTTAACAACTTTTATAGTACACGTTATAAATCACAGCGATTCACAATCTATCTCGGCTGGCTTTCTCTGCCAGGCTTATATACTAACGAAGAGGGCATTTCGAACACACGCGGACTTCCCTGATCATTCGAGAAACTCACGCACGTCATGTGACTTCCGCTGTCGTAACAATATATATTTTGTCATATTTTACATTAAATTGTAAGATATGTTTTAAAAAATAGGCACTATTAGCTAAGACTAGATTGTGCTTAAGAATACCTGTTAGAGCGAGAAAATGTTTTCAATAAGAAATAAAACACTCTTTAACTTAGGACAGATTCCGGTCATGGAACCAAAGTAAGTAGTATATAGATCCTTGTCACGACACAAAGTGAAGTAGTATATAGATCCTAGTCACGACACAAAGTGAAGTAGTATATAGATCCTAGTCACGACACAAAGTGAAGTAGTATATAGATCCTAATCACGACACAAAGTGAAGCAGTATATAGATCCTAGTCACGACACAAAGTGAAGTAGTATATAGATCCTAGTCACGACACAAAGTGAAAGAGTATATAAATCCTAGTCACGACACAAAGTGAAATAGTATATAAATCCTAGTCACGATACAAAGTGAAGTAGTACACCCCATCATCTGAATATAAAATTGTACAAAATTACTACTAACTTAATATTTAGACTCTAGTAAAGTTACTCTTTTACTAATCTAATAGCATAGCCAAACTTAAAAATTCTTACTTTAGACATAGACCAGACACAAAATTAACAAGTAAATAAAAGAAGTTAAGAAGTAAGATAAAGTCCTATCTAACTTGCCTTTTACAAAATGTTGAATAACGAATTTGCAATTACACTCAGTTGACTGTACGATCACAAACTATCTGCACCAATTTTGGGCAAAATCTTTTGTAATTTTCTGTGAAAATCTTCAGCACACCTTTTTATTAACAAACAAGACTAGAGCAGTTAAAGGGGAAGACTAGAACATTGTTCATGGTGCCTGCGCACCTCTTGCATTGTATATTCTACAACTAAAAAGTTATTTTCCCTACACTCCACCATAGTCATAAGCTGGTGTTTACTATCGACACACAACTAATAAAAAAAAAAGCTGATTAATACATATACCAATTTTGGGCCATAAACTAAAAGCATAACTATTCTCTCAAAATAATCACAAAATATTTCTTCTTGCTTTAAGAAATATTTTGATACTTTCTTCCCCCCATTATGCGGTATCTTAGCCATAATCATGATCAATCAACAGGTCAGATCATAATTTAATGAATGACATCACGTACTGTTTCAATGACCTAATGAACAGTGAGCCTTACAAGAGTCATTATCTACATCTGGATATAAAATAACCTTTTATCTGCTATTGTTCGTTGTATATCTATTATTTTATTCCTAGAATTTGCGAAACTTTCATTGCCTTTTTAATTAATATGACTTTAAAATTCGTCTAAATACCTACAAGCTGGTAACAAGTTGTACCATCAATTGACCTTAAACTAAACTTCAGCTAGAACTGAACACACAAACAGACAAAACATTTAAATACTTTTTCCGACTACATTATAGTTCTATATTACTTGTCTTTACTTTAGGTTTAACATTCAACATGCGAGGATTTCGAGAATAGATAAACAATTTCTATTTTCTTTATTAATCAGATTGTATACTCATATAATATTTCTTCCAAGTTAAACCAGTTAAAAGGATTTTTATTTCTGTAATCTGAAAGAGTGACGCTTGTGATAAACTACTTAAATATACTAATGTTTTCCTACGACTTCATTAATGGTCACAACCATAACTAAAACTAAAAGATTTGGCAACAGAAATTGATTGTTGAAATTTTAAATTGGATTATTAATTTTTCTGCAGAGAGAGACATACTATTTTTCTATTGTTTTTTTTTTCTACTTCTTCCAAAAACTCTTCAATCGACCATCAATCCTTCATTTCTAGGCGGATTGACGTAAAACTTAGGAGGGTAATACCTTGGTCCAATACACGTAGAATTTTTTTTTATTTACCCATTTTAAATGATTTTACAAGGTCAAAGGTCAAACAACCCAAAAATATAAATTTTGGGCTCCTGTGCGGTTATATTTATAGCAAACAAGATGAAAATTGGGACAAATATAATGTTTTATGCGTCCAACACATTGGCATAATAAAAGTTGAATTTGTCCATTTGGAGTCTTTTTAGGGCGGCCAGAGCTCACAAAAATGCATAATTTTGGGGTTAATTACTAGGCCGTATTTTGACTAATTGGCATGGAATTTGGTCCAAAGATAATTGTCTACAGGTCCTAAACAGAGATATAGACGATTTTGGGATTTTGTCTTTTGCTCAATTTTTCAGCGAGGAAAGCACAATTTTGGGTTTTCGTGTTAATGTGTATGCCAACCAACTTACTTGGGATTCAGTACACAGATACCTTCTTGCAGGTCCCAAGCAGTGATACAGACAGTTTCCGATTTTTCTGGTGTCAAAATTGGCCATGTTGGAATTGCGTGGTGGAGACATGTTGCTTTCGTCCACGAATGTTGGCCTCTTTAATTTAAAGTATATTTTATAACAAACGTTGTGTAAGATTAAGTCTTGAGTATTAAACAGCTGTTGTTACATTATATCAATGTATTAATAGTAACTTATTTGTGTATAGAATCAGTAAGTATATTAATATTAAGTTATTTGTAGAATTAGTCAATATATCGATATTAACTTATTTGTAGAATCAGTCAATACATTGATATTAAGTTATTTGTAGAATTAGACAATATATCGATATTACCCTATTTGTAGAATCAGCCAATATATCGATATTGCTCTATTTGTAGAATCAGTCTCTATATATTAATATTAACTTATTTGCGGAATTAGTCAATATATCGATATTACGTTATTTGTAGAATCAGTCAATACATTGATATTAACTTACTTGTGTGTAGGATCAGTCTTATATTGATATTAACTTACTTGTGTGTAGGATCAGTCTATATATTGATATTAACTTACTTGTGTGTAGGGTGAATCTATATATTGATATTAACTTACTTGTGTGTAGGATCAGTCTATATATTGATATTAACTTATCTAAGTATAGAATCAGTCTATATATTGATATTAACTTATCTAAGTATAGAATCAGTCTATATATTGATATTAACTTATCTAAGTATAGAATCAGTCTATATATTGATATTAACTTATCTAAGTATAGAATCAGTCTATATATTGATATTAACTTATCTAAGTACAGAATCAGTCTATATATTGATATTAACTTATCTAAGTATAGAATCAATCTATATATTGATATTAACTTATCTAAGTATAGAATCAGTCTATATATTGATATTAACTTATCTAAGTATAGAATCAGTCTTTATATTGATATTAACTTATCTAAGTATAGAATCAGTCTTTATATTGATATTAACTTATCTAAGTATAGAATCAGTCTTTATATTGATATTAACTTATCTAAGTATAGAATCAGTCTTTATATTGATATTAACTTATTTGCAGAATCAGTCGATTAGAGATATAAACATAACGAGTTGAGCAAAATAAGTTTAAGCATTATTTAAATTTGTCAGATGTAATTAGAAAAAACCAAAAACATCGTAAATTGACTGTGAACGTGTTTGTTTGGAAGTATAAATCATAGTTGAAAGTTTGAACACTTGAAATACAGATCATTATAGGCCATTTGTTGAACATTATTTTTATTTTTAATAGATAGCTATGGCGTTTGTTCTAGGAAATTTCAAAAGTGTCTAAATCTACTAATAACTTTGACACCTGAATGTATTACTATATAGTTTCCTAAGATGCACTTTCTTTGTTCTTATGTAAGCTTACACATTAAATTGTAAGTTATGCTTTTTTTTTTTGCACTAAAAATCTGAAGTGGCGTAAATAAGAACCTATTAAACAATTTGAGAAAACTCTGTTTATCTATTGAGATTTAACAAAATTCTTCAACGTGCATTAAAATTGCTGCTTAATTTTAATAAATAAATCATGTTTATAATCTCCAAGGTACAACTGGTAAAACAAGTGCATACAAGAATCAAGTTGCTTTCCGGTGGAGAAAAGAAAAGACTGGCATTTGCCACAGAGGTAACGTTGTTGTCTAAGTGATCACTTTATGTTTGCATATCTTTGTTACTTGATATAAGTATAGTAAAATATATATCAAACGCCTCCATTGTCCCCTATTGCTTCCATAGCTATCCCAAGAGTGGTTCGTATCCAATCACAAAACAAAAAACGCTAGGACACCCCTCCTTTATACCTGAGCACGTGTCCAAGTGTGGGGATATGAACACAGTTTCAAATATGGTGCCTCTGGAATCCTGAGGGGGGCTAGGACTAAAAAATCCTGTTCCAGATTCGGGTTCAGCAACCCTGAACATCTACTCTCAGGAAGGCTACGATATATAGATAAGGACACCTCCCCGGCCACTCTAAGTCAGACTGCCAAGTTTGATCCTGCTAGCTCTAGAACTGTAGCAGAAGCTATTTGGACATACTTACAAAGCTATAGGCTGAATTAATATAGGATATGGCTTGTAAGACCCAATAACTTATACATAATATAGTATTAATTATGCCCCCGATATCTTTCGAAAGTGAACATTTAAATAAATATTGCGTTGCTATTCTAATATGATTTGTTATTGATTACCTGCTCATATACGAGATTCAGAATTGGCTGAAACACACGAACACGTTTTTTAGCCATGCAATATTTAACAGTAGCACAGATCGTCTCATATTTTAGTACTAAAAGAACAGGTGGTTTAGTTCAAGTAAATGTTTGGTTTTATTAGTTTGATGAATCAATCCACATTTTCTCTTAATGGTAGTGAAGTTTGGTTTAGTTTTAAGCCGAGATCTTAAAGTCTTAATGAATAAAATTTCTTTAATCCTAAGCATCTTTTCATAATTAGCTCAGTCAATGATTAAAAACTGATTGCTGGGAACTGGAATACCACAGTTCCATGGGAGCTCTTGGATAGATGACATTACGCTGCCCACTTTCCTCTAAAAATCTCTTACAACAGGGCATGGCCTAGTAGTTAAAACGTTCAATTAGCAGTTTGCGGGATCGAAACCCGTTACCGAACAAGCTCTCTCTTTTAATCGTGGGGGTGTTAATAACGTGATAGTCAATTCCACTATTCGTCGGTGAAGAATAGCACAAGAGTTAGCAGTGGATGATATTGACTAGCTGCCTTTCCTCTTGTCTAGCACTTCAACATTAGGGACGGCTAGCGCTCATAACTTTGCGCGAAATTTCAACAAAAGAAACAGAAACATCTTTCGGTGATTACATTAACATTTTTTATTTGAACGTTTGAGTGATGGAATAGTGTTTTTAATATAAAATATATTTTGAATTATTTTGGGAAGCCAAAAACGATTGTCACAGTAATTCAACTAAAAATATGAGTAAATTTTTTTTTTTTTTTATCGAATAGCGCAAAAGTAAGCTGATGAAATGTTCAATGGGTAAGGTTTAGAAGTTAACAATTTTATTCAATGTTTTCTATATCTGTGTACCCTATTTGTTTTCTCTTTCTTAAGGACTCTTTAAACACCATAATTTCAAGGCCAAATTATTTTATATAATAACATAGGTTATGTTATCTAACGTGTTTTAAGCTTTCACAAGTAACCGAATCTCACAGGTTATACCATTTCTAATTTCTCAGATTGTCTAATGTTACAGATTATAATACCACATTAGTTATCTAACTCCATGTATTACAAATTAATTAGCCCCTGTTGGCCCAGTTGTAAACCTGTAGGCTTCCGATGTTCAAAATCGGGTTTCAATACCCGTGTTGAGCAGAACAGAGGTGTAGCTTTGTGTTCAACAACAACCAAACAAAAATTATTTATTTTTATAACTGTAAATAAAATCACGACCTATATATTGGCTTTGAAATTATGATGTTAAAGAGTCCTTAAGAAAGATAAAACAAATTAGGTACACATGAAATTGAATTTAATTTAGATGAACTTAAATTAGGCTTTGCGTTGATCGACTGGATATATAACATTTGCCGAATCTTTTTTTTTGGTCACCACTATAAAAATTTTAAACTAGAGTGAGGATTTATTCATATAAGTTATTAAAATAAAAAATGACTGGATTGTAGAACTGGCTAATGTATAGAATTTAAAAAATAATGTTTTAATTGGTTTTATATTTACAATTAAAATACGTAATAAATAATTTTCTCCTATCGCGGAATTTCTAAGGAAGAGGTAAAATAATGATAGTTTAAAAATTCATAAATTGGAAAAAAGTTTATCTAAAAGTACAAAAGAGTAGGTTACATCTTGATATTTTGATTTAATGTAAAATACTGAATTTGATGCCAACGTTTTTTTTCTTCTTTTTAACATCTATAACAAAAAATTAGGGAATAGTAGATACTATTATAAAGCACTGCAAAAACTTTTGAATAATTAAGTATTAATATAAAAGTAGACAAAATAAAATAGAACTTTTGATTCGCTTAAAACAGAGTTACAAACTTTAATATCGTGGTGGGATTTTTCTAATTGTAAATATCGTATTATCATTATAGAAACAACAAATATTAAAGAACTAAAACAAATTAGATTGAACCATCTCAGAAATTACAAAGGGCAATTTTAAAACATCCACTGATAGTTTAGATGAAGTTATATACAATTTACGGAAACTGTTTGTTTGCAATTAAGCACAAAGCTACACAGTGGGCTATCTGTGCTCTGTCCACAACGAGTATCGAAACCCGGTTTCTAGTGTTGTAAGTCCGCAGACATACCGCTGTGCCACTGAGGCAAACGGGAACAGAAAAGAAAATATTTTCAACATTACTAGAAAAACTTGATTATTATAATTACTTTATGTTTTGGAAAGCTTGTGAGGATACAAAAGAATACTCCTATTTATTGAAAAATAAAATATAAATGGATGAAATTATGATAATACTGTAACAGGGATGCCAGGGTTGGCTTTAACTTATTTTTATTCGAATCAAAGGAAATTAATTATATAACTAAGATTTGTTTGTTTTTGTTTTTGAATTTCGCGCAAAGCTACACGAGGGCTATCT